ATATAACTAGGTTTTTCATAGGTATCTTTGTTTCAGTTTTGCTTTGATTAAACTTTGTTTATTAATGACTACAACATTAAAAGTTTAAAAACATTAATAAAAATTCAAAACTTAAAACGTTGAAAAACGTTTTAAGTTTTTGAAAGTCTTTTTTATAAAACTTTTCCGAAAAATGTATGCGTTTGAAAGGTGAGAAATGTAGTAAAAGTTTAAATTACAAGATACGACTAATTGATTTTTGTCGAAAGTTAAACTTTTTCTTATTTAAAAGAAAATTTTTGTTTTGTTTTATTTTATATTTAAAACTCCTAAAGTATTTTTTGTTGTAACTTATATGAACGAAATCTTTTATCTAACTTATATATAAGTTTACTTTTTTTAACTTAATCTTAGTTTTGTAATATATACTACGGAAGAAAATGTATTATTATAGATCAATTTTATATTCTATGCTAGCAAATTCTTATATCTTAGTAATATATATCAACAATATATAAATTAATATACATTTGAATGTTTATGATGATTTTGTTTGAATGCTTTAAATTATTAATCTTGTAGTTAAAAAATTTCTATATTTTCTAATATATTTTTTAAAACTTATTACTCCACAACTACTCTTGTAGTACCTTTTTCTGTCAATTATTGAAAATTAAAGTAATAATTTCACATTTTTACGTTTATTACGACTGGTATGAATGCTTTTTCTTCGTTTTATAATCCTAAATGAAAAATCGAAAGTACGTTTGGTTCTCAAAGTTTAATGAAGGTTTGATTTAAACATTAATCTGGATTTTTCTCGGAACAGATACTACAAAATTTCGTAACGCTTTATAAATGTTTTATCAAAACGTTTTTTAAATGTTATCGTGTCAATGTGTCAGGCTTTATTTCTTTTAATTAATACATTTTTTTGGCTTTTAATAAACTTTTACAATTATTGCTCATGTTAGTTAATATTTTTACGTTTGGATTAAAAGACATGAAACGTAAATCTAAATCAACCGTCTATTTTTTTCAGTTGTAAATCACTAAACGTTTGATTTAGTTTTTAACCAATATTGACCAATATGGACATTTTTACGTTGACTGGATCAATTACATTTTACGTAATTTAATAAAAACTTTCATGTTTTCAGTTTCATCTTGAAAAGATTTAATATAGAGAATTTATTATTTTTTATAAATAAATTATTGTTTTCAAACAAATTAGCTAAAATAACAAGATAATCAATGTTTTTGTAAGCTTAGAAAAACTATTAGTGTAAAGAACAAAGATAAGTGAATTTAGAATTTTAAGAATTAGTACTAACTATTAAGAGAACTTGGAATAATCAGAACTGAAATTGGTAATTTTAGAGCATTTCTTTCTGCCAATTAGTAAAAATTACGCTAATTGTGCAGATAATAATCCTAATTTATACTTAACTATTTTACTTCTGTTGTGATGTTCATAGGTTTATTGATATTAGGAGATGAAGGTGAATGGCTACATTTTATTCAATTGGAATACAATTTTAAATAACGTATCATTATTAAAAATATAATATTTGCAATTTTTTTATACAATCTAATGTTAAAAAAGTAAATATAATCAGAATTTAGAAATTAGTCTAAACTTGTTTTGCAATATATTTTGAAAATCATTATTTGAAATTGTTGAACGATTCTTTAATTAAGTTTTTTTTTGTTAAATTGAAAAAACTTTTAGTATTTACAATTTGACTCTTGTTGAAGTCTGCAAGAATACCATTGACTGTAATAATTATAATTTCTAAAAGATTTAATCAAGACTTTAAAACTTGTTATAGAAACACTTTGCTATCAAAACTCAAACTCTTTCGCTTCGTTACCTTTTTCAAGTATTTTTGTTGTTTTTAAACTTTTATTTTATTATTTGATTTTTAACTCAAAAACATTTTAAAGTAATATGACTATAACACTTTTAAAATGAATATATTGCTTTTAAAATACTTTTTAAAATACTCACTATATTTCTACAGTCATAATCCCAAGAGAGGATAGGGGTTGAACATGTCATTTGCCAGAAAAACAAATTGCTTTTTATGTATTTGATTATGAATGTGGATACTAATTTACAATTTGCAACACTGAAAAACAAACTCATCTGTGTATTTTGCAGTCTTTTGGTGATAATAGCAAAGTGTCTTATAAAACGATATGTTACAAGCATTAGAATTATCGATATTCAATAACAGAATGAAGAAAACAATTTTCATTTACGTTTTGCTTTTTTTAGTAGAGCTTGAACTAATTACATACAAAAAGCTTGCTGAACGTTTAAGTAAAAGTAAATAAAATATTATTTTAAAAATTTGAAGAACAATACCTTTCATGCTGTAAAAGTTTATAAAAATGTCTGGGTTAAACTATTGACAGTATAGAAATAACTTACAAGGCTTACTAATAGAGTATTCTGAATGCAAAGAGGGATTTTACTTTAACTGTGTAAAAGATATTCCAGATGATTAAGTTGCTAAAACTTTGTGTGGTTTCGCATTATATCAAGTCATTAGTTTAATAGGTGTGTAGGTCTATAATTTAAAATCAAAAAAATAAGTTGTATTAATAACATTACCATAGTTTGAAGAATATATTTATATAAACCTAATACATAATATTTTAGAAAACCAGTGGGCACACGACTTCAATTCAATATTGGATTCATATTGGGTATGCAGGGCAACATTACCAACTATGTCAAACGTTGTAAAAGTGTTGTAAAAATAACGTCAGTGTAACTAACTTTGTTACAACGTTGGTTACACTTACGTTGTTTATCATCGATAATACCATAAAAACGTAGGTTACGCTACGTTGTTTTTCATCAGAATTATAACCATGTAATAATAATGTTGGTTCTAATAGCGCTATTTTTCATCAGTCAATCTATTTCAATAACTTTGGTTACACTAACATTAGTTTTATATAGAAATACAATGTTGTAACAAAGTTGATTATATAAATTTTATGATATTATATATTAACATATCATTAGGCATACGACATTGATCCAACATTAGATTTATTTTGCTTCATGTTGGGCAACATTGAGCAAATAAATCTAACATTGTAACAACATTAGACACATTAAGTTATTTTCCATCAGAATTTTAACGTTCGTTTCATTACCGTTGGTTTTTATCGAATATACAGCGTTTTAATAATATTGGCTACACAATCGTAATATTATCGGAATAAAAACGTACAATGAAAGCAAACAAACGTTAGCCCGACGTTAGAGCAACTTCAAAAACGTTTACCTTATTTTGTTCCGACAATGGTCCATAATTGTGTGTTTGCTCTGCCTTTTTTTATGTAACATTTTGTTTGCTATTCGAGAAGGTAAATATTTATGTGATTGAAAAACATACACATATATCTCCATGAACTATCAATTTTTTAAATATTCAAATTATAAATAGTAAGTAAATGATAAACTGTACTTAGCGTTTTTGACTTTCTAGTAAAAAGTAAACTGTTATACAATGTAACTTTTTTAAAATAAAAATTTATTTTGGTAAATATTTCTTTTATCAACACGATAGTGTAGCGTAGTTAAAAGAACGTTGAACTATGTAACGTGTGATTGTGGTTCAAGTACTAGTAACGTCTACTTTAACTTAAAAAACAAGTTGCTTTTGTATTAAATTCGCAACTTTGGTTAGTGTTGAAAAATCTAACCTTATAACGTTAGAAAATCTAACTTTGTCCATCCTTTCTACTTTTAAAGCTATTATTACGTTAATAGGACTTGAAAAATACGTTGTTTAACGTTGTTTCAACTTTGTTATCTTCACTGAGAATATAAACAACTTAAAAAAGTATAAAAGTAACATTAACTATTAAAATATTATAGTTTAATGTCAACTTCCACTGATTGATTTGGTTTTAAATAATTTGTTATACATGTAAAACTTTTTTATTTGCTTATATTTTTTCAATGTTTATTTATATTGATGTTAAGTGTTTAAGATAAAGACCCATACGTTAAGTCAACGTCAAAATAATGTCGATACTGTTGTCCATTGATCTAACTTGTTGTAGTGCTTAGGGAGATTTAGAGATTTAAAAACTTTCTTTATAAGAGTTCAAAATTGATTTTGAAAACAAAATAAGCGGAGGGTTGTTTCTAGCTTAAATAGATTTCTTCAATATTATTAAACTCGTTTTATTTGGTGAATAGCACCACGTTTTATATAGTTTCAAGTCAGAATAGAAATAGAAATATTTATATACTGAAAATAAAATAACCTTCTTTTCAACGTAATTAAAACTTTTGAAGTTAAAAACTGTAAAAAAGAATGTAGAAGTTTTTTTTATAACAACGAAACAATATTGCTGGTTTTGTTGATGTTATTGTTGTTGGTGTTGTTGCTGTTGTTGTTGTGGTTGTTGTTGTTGTTGTTGTGCTGTTTTTGTTGTTGTTGTAATTTAAAACAGTTTCTTACAATAATAATTTGTTACATGTTAAAATAGAAGACTATTTTACTTTCATTATGAAAAAAAATATATTATTTTGTTAAAAGTAGTTTAACAAACTAAATTAAAAAAAAAAAAATACTGTTGGTTTGTTCTGAATTTAAATGTTAGAATTGGTTTGACTTAATTTTAAACAAGTTAAGAACTTGTTAGTTTTTTTTATATATAGTTCAAGTTTATTTTTAATTTTCTAAATTTTTTAACTAAGTAAACCATTAGAGTTTAAATTAACGTTACATATGAAAAAAAAAACAATAATGAAAGTTTAAATATTGTTTAGACTATAAAAAAAAAAATTTTTTAAAAAAGTAATTATTATTTAAAATAGTGGTTAGCGTTTGAGTTACATATTTAGAGAAAATCATAATTTCAATTTAGAACATATTCATGGCAACGTTAAAACTGTTTACATTACTTAAATCAATTATTTACATAGATGAAGAAACACTTTAAAGAATATTTAAATTTATTAAAAGTTTTTCCTATTACATCATAAACCATCTTTATTACTTCGAAAATCATCTCAAGATATATTTAATAAAGAGATAAATCTAGAGCGTTCATTTACTATTCAAAGAAAACCTAATTTAAAAAAGTACATTTAATTTATTGCAAATGAGTACGTTGTACATAACTCTATGCCACCATAATTTATATCCTGGATTTTTGTTTGGTATCATATTATTACTTGCAAGTTACAGATCAGTAAAAGGTTTGTGAGCTATTACAGTGTTACCAAATATTATAAGTTTTGTATTAGTTAGCACAAACAGTTTATAGCAACATTTGTTATACACAGAACTTAAAAATGCCACAAACAGTTTATAGCAACATTTGTTATACACAGAACTTAAAAATGCCACTTGGCAACACTAAATTATATGTTTTTAAATTTATGAGAACATTAAAGATAAGAAAACACGAGTTAAAATTTATTTAGATTACTTAAAAAGTTTTTAATTTATTTCAAATATTTTTAGTTTAAATATTTTAATACAAACAGTATTAAGATTCAAATTAGTTTTTTCTAAAAAATATTGGATTTTCATTTTTAATTATCTTTTAATTGAGACTTCAATAAATACTTCTTTATTAATTACTCTAAATTTGACTTAAATTATTTATGGGTTGTAATATTTTTGTAGTTATAATAACTTTTTGATTCTACAGACAAAATTTACGTTAATTTTATGAAAAATATATTTTTTATATTTAGACTAATTAAAATAATTATTTTTAGAAAAAACTCTTAACGTTTAAAAAACGTTTAGAAAAAAGTAATGAATGAATGCATATCAAAAAAAAATTTCTTGATATTACAAACTCCAAATTACCTAAGGAAAATAAAATAAAAAATCTGTGTTTCAAAAAATGCTGCATGGAAAAACATTTTTGTACACCCGTTTTAAGATTGTTTTAATACAATATTGTCGTGGTAATAAGCCGAGAAATACAAAACACGATTTTACTTGCTATTTCTCACAGTTTCACATTTGTGTATAAGCTTTAGAGAAACAACGAGTGTAGTACTTTGTTTTTTTTTTAAACTTTATTCATAAAAGTTAAACAAAAAATAAGAATTTATGTCAAGCTTTAACTTTATTAGCTTGGTGAAACTTTTGACTGCAATATTTTACTGCTTATTATTAAACGATCAACAGTGATAGATATAATATTTCATTTGATTTTTGAAATTGAGGAGCTTAATAATAGACAAACAGATCACAAGTGTTATGATAGATGTAATATTTCATTTGAAAGTAGTACAATTAATAATATAAAGTAAATGTAAAATTTAAACTATTTATGAAAAGTTAAATTTTGGCACTTGCAAAACAAAAAAACTAGCATGTGTAAAAAAATAAAATTTAAATGAAATTCGACATAACGTCTTTTTGCTTAACAACCCGCTAAATTTCATTACACGTAATATACCGAAAATATAAGTTTCACTATTTATTGCGCAGTTGAAAAAATGTGCATTGTTCAGTTTTGGTATATTATTTTTATTATGACAGTAACATTATAGGGTACTGCTAATTACGTATACAATTTTCGTATACAATTTTGGTATATTGTTTTTATTATGACAGTAACATTATAGGGTACTACTAATTACGTATACAATTTTCGTATACAATTTTGGTATATTGTTTTTATTATGCCAGCAACATTATAGGGTACTACTAATTATGTATACAATTTTCGCATACAATTTTAGTATATTGTTTTTATTATGACAGTAACATTATAAGGTTACTACTACTTACGTATACAATTTTACATATACAATTTTAGTACTACTAATTACGTATACAATTTTCGAATAGTTTTTGCTTCTCTATGTTAATATCTATATTCCCTTCCCCATTGTCAATAACTTATAAAAAATACAATAGTTAAACATGCAATATAAAAAAATACCGTTATTTAACGCTTTTTCAACTTTGGTGTGCGCAATAGAAAGCTATATAGTCTAGTATCGATGAACATTCTATAAATAAATACTGCGTACGACGGATTTGTTGTGCTTCGCGCATTCTATTATGCACTATAAAGTATAGAATTAGTTATTTATGAAGCCATAAACAATTTGTTTTTAATAAAAACCATAACTGAAGGCATTTTCAAAATATTTGCTGTGGTTTTCCTCTATGTTCTATATCGGGGCTACTTTTATTCTTAATCTATATAAAAGACTTAAATAAAGTCTCAAATTTAATGAGTTTTTGGTGACAACGCGAACTTATTTCTGACTAACGGATGATGCGAAAGTTATTTGACAAATCTGATTTTAATTATTTAAGTATAATAACTTGTTTTTGTGGTTTTATGTGTATGCATAAACGTTTGATAAAATAAAAACTATATTTTTTGAAAAACAATTGTTAAAAATGGGCATAAAACAATTGTTAAAAATGGGCTTAAACGCAGATGAACTAAAATTTTTTTGGAAGCGGCTCAAAAGTTTTTGTAAATAAACCTAATGTATATATATATACTAAAAAAAAAATCCTAAGTCATTTTAAAAAAGAAGGATTTGCTCAAACTACAATTAAAGATAACCTTAAAAGACTTTAAACTGTTTAATCTTGTTTTGATAGAAAGCACCCTGGTTATTCAATATCGAATTAACGAGACTTGTCAACATTTGAAAAGGTGTCATTTGGAGAAAAATTAGTTTTTATTTCGTTATAAATCAATTGAAAATTGTTTCTCAATTTAAAAAAAATGAATATTAAATATAGAAAGCGTGAGAAGACAATTAAAGGCAAAGAAAAAAGACTGGAAACAAGTTAACCAACTCAATAACTTAAAATCGCTTCTGGTCATCAATGACGAAAAATACTTTTGATTTGCAGGGGACAAGATTCCTGGAAATTCTGGATACAACACAAACAAAAAAAGAAACATGTCCAGAAAGCGTTTTTTTAGAGAAAAAAAGTTATTCATTTCCATAGCTATATCTGACCGTGTTGTTTCCGACAAATTGTTTTCTATTTCCAAGGCTGTACCACTTTAATTATCGATCTACATTGATAAATGTTTAGAAAAGCAACTTCTTCCATTCATTCAAAAGTTTTATGGAGACTTAAGCTATTTATTTTGACCAGGTTTAGCTAGTTCTCATTATTCTAAATATTCTCAATATTGGATGGACCAATATGTCTATGACGTTAATAAAGAATCCAATCCCCCAAATGTACATAATTAATTGAAAACCTTTAATGACATTTGGTACAGAAGGTTTAAAAGGGATAATGGCAAGCTTCAACAAAGCAAATTTCGATTGATCGAATTAAATTACAGCTACAAGAAATTGATTTTAATTTTTCCCGTCGCCTATGGAAGACATCAAAGCAAAAATAAGATCAGTTGCAGATGGTGGTGTTTATTGGTTTAAAAAATAAGTTATATTTATTAAAAAATAAATACTTTATTTAAAAAAAAGTATTATTAATTTTTTTTTATTTATAAATAAGCATTTATCATTTTTATTTTGCTCGATAACTTATACATCAGCCGTGAATAATAACAAATACAAACTCTGTTCTACAATTAATGATGAACTCAAAAACATATCTACTTGGTTCAAATGTAACAAAATAACTACTAACATTATTACAACCAAATGAACTCTGTTCCATTTGTTATTTAAAAAGCCCCATTTGACTCAAAAAAATTTTATGAAAACTAAATTACTTAATATATACGAGCTCAATGCTTATAGCATTTTATGCTTTATTTACATGTGGAAAAACAATTTAACTTTATCTATCTTTAAAGGCTTTTTTTCTTTACACCCAATATTTGAATATACATGAATACTTAGAAATAAAATATTTTATATGAACCAATTTGCATAAAAAATTTATATTTTTTGCATAACGTTTTGCGTACCATATCTTAAAACAAAATTATTGTATTTAATTTTGATATAATTAATATTTATTTCAATCTTTGAAAAAAACATCAAAATGCTATTCTTTCAATTTATAATATACACAAACACTTTTTATTACAACCGCGTTTTTGTCTTTTTAATTTAAAGACTGTTGTATTTTTTCTTTTCTATTATAAAAAGATGTCTTTCTGTATTTACTTTGTATGTATATTTATATATGGTATTTATATATTTGCGCTTTTATAGGTTCTGGCAAGCAGGAAAAAAAAAAAACAATAAAAAAAGAAAATCAATTTTTTGGCTAACTTTGAGTTATAGTAATTAGCAATTTTTGGGCTAACAAATTTTTTTAACTTACAGTAAAGGGTTATTGACATTAATTTTATGGTAAAAATATGTAATTTTGTGTGTAAATTTTATGTAAATTTTACTTGTATTAAAATACTTTGAAAAACATTTTGTACGTGCGTACAAACAAAAAGCCCACAGTAATAATTTTATTTATAGGGTTTTTAAAACAAAATATGTGTTGTAGATAAAGTCCTTGGGACATTAAAAAACACGTTTTTAAGAAGAGATACCAAAATATGGAAAAAACTTCCCAGCCGGCAAATAACGTTGAAGTAACGTTGAAATATTGTTAATACCTAACGTTGAATTAACGTTGGTTTAACGTTTAGAATGAAAGTTTTTTTCAACGTTGATTTATCAACGTTAAATCAACGTTAAGTTCAAACGTTATATCAACGTTGAACCGACGCGAAAAAACGTTACAATAACGTTGAATTAACGTTGGTTTAACGTTTAGAATGAAAGTTTTTTTCAACGTTGATTTATCAACGTTAAATTAACGTTAGGTTCAAACGTTATATCAACGTTGATTCGACACGAAAAAACGTTACAACAACGTTGAATTTACGTTGATACAACGTTTAAAATGATAGTGTTTAACGTTGATTTATCAACGTTAAACGACTGTAAAACACTTTTTCACCATCAAAACGTGCTATGTATGTCAAAATGTATATATGTATGTAAACGTGCTATGTGCGTCAAAATATGATCACCATCAAAACGTACTATGCATGTACATTAGTGTTGCTGTACATTATCAAGGTATATTATGAATATTAAATCTATTCATAGCCTATACTTAGACTATTTAGAACTTTTTCAGTTTAGTTTAGTTAAAAAAGCTAGGTATGATTAAAGAAAGAGATAAAACTTGTTTTGTTTAAAAATACATATTCAAATATTACATATATTTACATGTAATTGAATAAAATCTACACAAATTTCTTTTCTTT